GGCTAGTTTTTTTGTATTTTTAGTAGAGACGGGGTTTCACCGTGTTAGCCAGGATGGTCTCGATCTCCTGACCTCGTGATCCGCCCGTCTCGGCTTCCCAGAGTGCTGGGATTACAGGCCTGAGCCACTGCGCCCGGCCAGTTGCTACTAATATTCTAAGACATGCTACGGTGGTGTGGAAATCTTTTTTTAAATTGCTCACTGTATTGCTACTTCCTTTTCTGCTCCCCCCACCAACCATATTTATAAAAAACAAAAATCCAGCAGCAGCCAAGACGTTATACCAACATGACACAGGCAGGCAACCACATCTGATCCTTACAATGAAGCATGTGTGTTTCCACTGTTATAGAAGTTGACTCAGAAGCACACAATTTCCTCCAGCAACCAGGGGAAGGGTAACTGAGGGGAAGCGGTGGCCCAGTGACAGGTGGCCTGGAGCAGGACGGAAGAGCAGGGACTCTGTTGCCAGACTGTGTTCACATTCCAGTGTACCACTTCTGTGTGTTATTTGACAAGTTATTAATTTTGGGGGGGCCCTCAATCTTGTTGCTTGTAAAACAAGAATAAAAATACCACCAACTCCATCAGGTTGGCATGAGGATTAAATAAGCAAATACACGTAAAATGCTTAGAGTAGTGACTGGCACATAAATGCTGTCAGGGTTAGTTAGCTGCTGCTGCTGTAACTATGACCATCATCATCATTAAAACATAGGAGGAGCCCCAGAGCAGAAGGACTGAGCTCGGATGGCTCTAAGCTGAGTGGACCCCAAATGGACTTGCACAGCACTCTAAGAACGGTATCCACTGGTGTGTCCCCAAGCAGCTTATGGTGACAGGAGCGAAACTTCAGCCGCCGAGTGTTGACCCACCCCTGCCAAAAGCCACCTTGTAACCCAGGACAGGGCTGTAACTCAGGAAGATGCCCCACTGAGGACAAGGTCATAACACAGGAAGGAGCTGTCATACAACCCCAGACCTGTAACACTGGAAGGCAAAAGAAAGCAAGCCAGGCCTGGAGGAGGAGCTGGGGCTGAAACTGAGGCTTAAGAAGGGAGTTCATGTCCAAGGCAGCCTAGATCTGTGTCCTGAGACTGGAGCACTCACCTGAATGGCAGAAGACAGCCAGGACAAGCAGCAGCCCGAACAGGACAGACCCTCCTTGGATTCCCATTGTGATTGTCCACAGAACCTGGAAGGAAGGGACAGGAGGGATTGTCAGGAACCAACAAATGACTGCTGGTTGTCTCAAAAACCAAGGGCTGGAAGGCCAAGGAGGCTTCTGAGAGGAACATTTACAGGGGAAGTCAAGGCACACTGAATCCCCAGGCCATGCCTCAGCTCTAACCCACAGCACCACATACCCTTCAGTAGGCTCAGTTCCTATAAGCCACAGCGTGCACTACCACACCGTGGGAATAACACTATCTTCCCCATCAGGGTTAGGCACTCAAATGACAATATGACCAAATTGACTCATACAGTCACTGTGGTTCCCACTCTACTGGCCCCACCGCAAGCTGCCGGCTGAAACAGAGGGCCACTTCTCTGAGCCACAGCACTAAGTGAATCAGACCAAAGAGGTGACCCTGGAAGGCACCAGCATGCATTCAGCAGCAGAACGGGGAGCAACGGCTTAGCATACCTGGAAGCTCTGGCTCCTCACTGTAAAAATTATAATGGGGACACTTGCTTGCTCTCTTTGGGCACATGAAGAGAGGTATTGGGCAACTTTGTAAGCTTCCATTACACAAATGCCTAGATGTGTAGTGATAGCATCAGGTGAGAAGGAAAAGCTGAAATGCCTCCAACCCTACTCTAGCCAGTAAAGAAGCTAAGGCATGGGGAGGTTTTGAACTTGCCTAAGTACAAAGCATCCATAGCAGAACTAAGAAATTTCCCAACTCCAACCCTACATCCCTGAACCCATCTTGAAATAAGGAGGTGGCAGCGCCTGTAAACCAAGGTACTCCATATTCTATTCTCCAGAGTCCCATAGGCCCGGACAGACAGATGGGTTCTTGGAAGGGTGAGTCACCTACCCTCCCTAAGCCAGAAATGCAGAGTTCCCTGGGGAACTGACAATCCTGACAATCCTTCCTGTCCCTTCCTTCCAGGTTCTGTGGAATCATCACCTCTCACATCTTAAAGGTCATCTGCTACTTAGGAATTTGCTGATACAGGCCAGTGGAGGACTGAGAAGCTCCAGGAAAAGGGCAGGGTCTGACATTGTCCAAAAAAGAAAACAATCAGTGAGTCAAGCCTGGAGATGTGGGTGGTGGAGGTAAGAAAGAGGTGGTTTTATGATATGTGAGGAACCAGGAAGAAAGACAACTGTGGCCTGGCCTTTCCTTACAAATTGAGGGCTCCCCACCACCCGCTGGGCTCTGAAACCTACAGCCTGCCATGGGACACCATCCCCCATGTGGACCTTCCCAGGGGCCTGGGCTCCAGCAGCTGCCAGCGGCCTGCCTGGTTCCCCATTTTCAGCGGTTTCTGAGTAGGAAGGGTGATTTACAGTCTCAGGTTAGTGCTGCAAGTGAGCAGGGAGAGGAAGGTACTGCTCTGAGGTCCCCAAACAGAGAGCTCCAGACACTTCCTAAAAGTTAAGCATAGCATGATCGGAACCTGGGTATTATAGTGAGACCCCATCTCTACAAAAATAAAAACATTTAAAAAAATTAGGCTGGTGTGGTGGCATGTATCTGTAGTCCCAGCTACTTGGGAGGCTAAGGTGGGAGGATCGCTCGAGCCCAGGAGGTCAAGGCTACATACAGTGAGCTGTGACTGTACCGTTGCACTCCAGCCTGGATGACAGAGCAAGACCCTGTCTCCAAACAAACAAACAAACAAAAAGCCAATGTAGCTACAATGTCAGGCATCCCCATGGAAGCAGGAAGGAAGGAACCTCCTGACTCGGGTTAGGCACTGGAAAGGTGTCAGGCTGGCAGGAGCTGCCGGCTCAGGACACTTCCCTTGGAATGGTCCTTGACATAAATCACACCACCACAACACACAGGGTCCCTGACGGGGAGCTGTTCTTTGATGAAGTGCCTTAGAAAGAACTGGCCTGGGTGGAGCGCGGTGGCTCACGCCTGTAATCCCAGCACTTTGGGAGGCCGAGGTGGGCAGATCACGAGGTCAGGAGATCGAGACCATTCTGGCTAACACAGTGAAACCCCGCCTCTATAAAAATATAAAAAATCAGCTGGGTGTGGTGGCGGGCGCCTGTAGTCCCAGCTACTTGGGAAGCTGAGGCAGGAGAATGGCGTGAACCCAGGAGGCAGAGCTTGCAGTGAGCCGAGATTGTGCCACTGCATTCCAGCCTGGGTGATGAGTGAGACTCCGTCTCAAAAAAAAAAAAAAAAAAGAAAGAATTGGCCTGCTTTCACAGGTGTTCCAGTTCAGTCTGGAGGCCTCGGAACAAGGCCAGATAGTTCTGGCTCTGTCACCTCTTTGCTGTGTGTTAACCTCTGATCATGCTTTGGCTAGTAAGCATGGGGATAGTTATGTGTACTGCATAGCACAATGCCTGGCCAAAGATGGCACTCAAAAAGCTGTGGCCACTGTTAGTGCAACGTAGGCACTAATGAGGTTACCTGAGGAAGAAACTGTGTGGGGAGGGAGTGCTGGGGGGTAAAGGATGGGAAGGCAGACAGAGGGTGATGTGACATGAGGAAGCCAGAGAAACACCCTGGGTTGAGTAAGCAGGGAAGACCTCAGGCATCAAACCTAAGGAAGCCCTCAGTTTTCTGGGACAGATGGGGAGTGTCAAGTCTTAGCTTCAGTTCCACATGACCGGCTGGTTGTTGCTATAGCTGATCCCATGACACACTGCAGGGGAAGCCAAGATGGCAGAGAAAGGAAGTAGCTATGTGTAGATGCCCAGGTCAGGCTGTTTGATCAAAATAAGACCAGGCCTTTAGGAACCACTGCCAAAATACGAATTTCCAAGAGCAAAACGTTCACGTGGAGTGTGTGTATGTGTATGGGGGGCGGAGGAAGGTGGGAGGCAGAAAAAGAAATAGCTGACTGTTTTAAGGCTATTTTATAAATGCCCTAAAATGTAGATGGTAACTAACACTAAGCAAGATCATTTACGGCTTTTATTTTTCTTCCTGATCCTTTACTTATTTCCATCCTTTCCCCAAATATTCTATAATTAACAAAGTATTACTTTTACAATCAGAAACATCTGGAAAATCCACACATGACTATGTTCCTTTTCTAGTAGTTATAAATCATCTATCTTTTGGTAAAACTACTCCCTAGTCTAAAACACCCTCCATTTTAAGTAAAAAGAAAAGGAAGATGCCCATAAGGTAAGTGTAGATAAGATGACAAACAAACCGAAAGTGCTACCATTCCACCCAAACCAAGCACTTAAGTGCAAGATACACTCAGAAAGCATCAACACTCAATTCCTTTCCAAACATCTCAGGACTCATTAACAGCGGGTTTGTCCCTAAAGACTGTTCTAATAATATCGCTACTGTTCTGAATAATTTTTAATTCTTCTAAAGAATGCACAACTGAAAAATCCCTCAAAGAAGATAGGTAGGGACAAGTCTTCCCCATGATGAAGGAAGGGCAGGTTTTCCTGGGTGGTGCGTAAGTTGACTCTAAAGTCATTTCCATAATGGGAGTTCCAGATGGACCTTTCATCACAGGAATAAGAAATAGTCAAGGTTATACAAACATTCTTTAAAATAGCAACAATGTAGTGACACACACATCCAAAGATAAGGAAATGAGTATATTATGGTACACTTCCATGGTGGGGAACTGCATAGCCAGGAAAAGAATGGGTGTGGAAGGCTGCTCACAATGAATTAAGATCTACCAAGCAAATGCAAAGCAAAAAAAGCAGGGGTTGCAATCCTAGTCTCTGATAAAACAGACTTTAAACCAACAAAGATCAAAAGAGACAAAGAAGGGCATTACATAATGGTAAGGCGATCAATGCAACAAGAAGAGCTAACTATCCTAAACATATATGCACCTAATACAGGAGTACCCAGATTCATAAAGCAAGTTCTTAGAGACCTACAAAGAGACTTAGACTCCCACACAATAGTAGTGGGAGACTTTAACACCCCACTGTCAATATTAGACAGATCAACAAGACAGGAAATTAACAAGGATATCCAGGACTTGAACTCAGCTCTGGACCAAGCAGACCTAATAGATATCTACAGAACTCTCCACCCCAAAACAACAGAATATACATTCTTCTCAGCACCACATCGTAATTATTCTAAAACTGACCATATAACTGGAAGTAAAACACTCCTCAGCAAATGTAAAAGAACAGAAATCACAACAAACTATCTCTCAGACCACAGTGCAATCAAACTAGAACTCAGGATTAAGAAACTCACTAAAAACCGCACAACTACGTGGAAACTGAACAACCTGCTCCTGAATGACTACTGGGTACATAACAAAATGAAGGCAGAAATAAAGATGTTCTTTGAAACCAACGAGGACAAAGATACGACGTATCAGAATCTCTGGGACACATTTAAAGCAGTGTGTAGAGGGAAACTTATAGTACTAAATGCCCACAAGAGAAAGCAGGGAAGATCTAAAATTGACACCCTAGCATCACAATTAAAAGAACTAGAGAAGCAAGAAATTAGAACGGCGATCATTAAAAAGTCAGGAAATAACAGCTGCTCGAGAGGATGTAGAGAAATAGGAATGCTTTTACACTGTTGGTGGGAGTGTAAATTAGTTCAACCACTGTGGAAGACAGTATGGTGACTCTTCAAGGATCTAGAACTAGAAATAACATTTGACCCAGCAATCCCATTACTGGGTATATATCCAAAGGATTATAAATCATTCTACTATAAAGACACACGCACACGTATGTTTACTGCGGCACTGTTCACAATAGCAAATTCTTGGAACCAACCCAAATGCCCATCAATGATAGACTGGATGAAGAAAAAGTGGCACATATACACCATGGAATACTATGAGTTACAGTTCTTTGCTGGAAAAAGGATGAGTTAATGGCCTTTGCAGGGACATGGATGAAAGTGGAAACCATCATTCTCAGTAAAGTAACGCAAAAAGAGAAAACCAAACACCACATGTTCTCACTCGTAAGTGGGAGTTGAACAGTGAGAAACCACAGACACGGGGAGGGGAACATCACACACCGGGTCCTGTCTGGGGTTGGGGGGTGGGGGAGGGATAGCATTAGGAGAAATACCTAATGTAAATGACGAGTTGATGGGTGCAGCACACCAACACGGCACATGTATACCTATGTAACAAACCTGCACGTTGTGCACATGTACCCCGGAACTTAAAGTACAATTTTAAAAGAAGAGCTTAAACTTAGTATCTCCAAGAAAAAAACAAAACCAAATACAGGCACTTCTTTTCAAGTTCCTGAAAATGTTTTAGATAGCAAATGTTCTAGGTATGTGGGTAGAAAATGCAATGAGCCTATTTCCACTGTTTTAAGTAGGAAAACGTGTTACTGTCCATCCAAAAACCTCAACCAGCTCCCCAAATATCAATTAAATATATACACCCACACACATGTGACCCTTGAACAACACAGATTTGAACTGCAGGGGTCCATTTATATGCAATTTTTTTTTAAGAAAATATATTGGAAAATTTTTTGGAGATCTGCAATTGAAAAAACTGTTACATAAACTGCATAGCCTAGAAATATTTTTAAAAATTAAGAAAAATTTAGGTATGTCATGAATGCATAAAATGTATAGAGATACTAGTTTATTTAATCACTACCCAAAAACATACACAAATCTATTATAAAGTTAAAATGTGTTAGCCAGGCATGGTGGATCATGCCTGTAATTTCAGCACTTTGAGGGACCGAGGTAGGCGGATTGCTTGAGCCCAGGAGTTTGAGACCAGACTGACAAAACCCCATCTTTACAAAAAAAAATAGCCAGGT